AACCAACTGATCTTCAACAAAGCAGACAACATACCCTGGGAAAAAGAAGCCCTATTCAATAAATGGTGCTGGGAAAATTGTATAGCCACATGCAGAAGAATGAAATAGGACCCCTATCTCTCACCACTTACAAAAATTAATTCAAGATGGATAAAAGGCTTAAACGTAAGGCATGAAACCATAAAAATTCTAGAAGAAAATGTAGGAGAAACTAAAAATCTTCTAGACATTGGCCTAGGCAAAGAATTTATGACTAAGACCCCAAAAGCAATTACAGCAATCACAAAAATAAATACATGGGCCTTGATTAAGTTAAAAAGCTTCTGCACAGCTAAGGAAATAATCAACAGAGCAAACAGACAACCTACAGAATGGGAGAAAATATTCACAAACTGTACATCTGATAAAGGGCTAATATTCAGAATCTACAAAGAACTCAAACAAATCAGCAAGAAAAAAAATAATTCCATTAAAAGGTGGGTAAAAGGCATGAACAGAAGTTTTTCAAAAGAAGATAGACAAATGGCCTATAAACCTAAGAAAAAGTGCTCAACATCACTAATCATCAGAGAAATACAAATTAAAACCACAATGAGATATCACCTTACCCCTGTCAGAATGGCCACTACTAAACAGTGAAAAAACAATAGATGCTGGCACGGATGCAAAGAGAAAGGAACGCTTATATATGGTGGGACTGCAAATTAGTACAACCTCCATGGAAAACAGCATGGAGATTCCTCAAAGAACTACAAGGAGACCTACCATTCAATCCAGCAGTCCCACTACTGGGTATATACCTAAAGAAAAAGTCATTTTAACAGAAAGACACCTGTACTCAAATGTTTACTGCAGCATAATTCACAACTTCAAAAATGTGGAATCAACCTAAGTGCCCATCAATCCATGAGTGGATTAACAAAATGGGACATATATATACCATGGAGTACTGCTCAGCTATAAAAAGAAATGAATTAATGTCTTTTGCAGCAATTTGGATGCAATTGGAGATTATTATCCAAGTGAAGTATCCAAGGAATGGAAAAACAAACACCACATGTACTCTCTAATAATTTGGAACTAACTAATGAGCACACATGGGCACAGAGAGAAGTAAAAGTCATTGGAAATTAAGAAGGGGAAGGAGAGATGAGGGGAGGGGTAAAAACCTACCTAAGAGGTACGATGAACACTATTCAGGTGATAAACACACTAATAGCCCTGACTTAAGCATTATAAAAGTTACCCATATAACAAAAACATTTGTATCCCCTTAATATTTTTAAAATTTAAAAAATAATTTTAAAAAGTTAAGGATTATCCCAACAACAACAAAAAAGAAAGAAATTTGATCCTCCGTGTTAAATGTACGGCCTGGTGGGAAGTGTTTGGGTCATGTGGGCAGATCCCTATGGCTTGGAGCACTCCCCGTGATAATGAGTGACTTCTCACTTTATTAGTTCACCCAAGAGCTGGTTGTTTAAAAGAGCCCGGGCACCACCTCCTCTCTCTCTTTGCTCCTTTTCTCACCTTGTGACATGCTGGCTCCCCCTTCACCTTCCACCTTCCCTGAAAGGTCCCTGAGGCCCTCACCAGAAGCAGATGCTGGTGCGATGCTTCTTGGACAGTCTGAAGAACTGTGAGCCAAATAAATCTCTTTTCTTTACAAATTACCCAGCCGCACGCATTTCTCTATAGCAGCACAAAACAACTGAGGCAAAAGAAACTGAGACAGACTACTAGCTTGCTACCACATTAACTACTACATACTGCAAGAGACAACCGTTTTCCTGACTGAAAGTTCCCTGTATGATTTTTTTTTTTAAATCCAGAGATTGGAATTTTCAGAGTTTCTTGACTCTGTAGTTGATGTCTTCCATCTATTTTAGAAAACTTTTGGCCATTATTCTCTTTAAACATTGCTTCTTCCTCATTCACTCTTCTTTCCTTCTTAGCTTCCAATTACAATGTTAGACTTCATCATTGTGTCTCACATGTCTCTGATGATGCTCTCTTTTATATCTTCCATTCTTTTTTCTTCCTCCTGATCTGACTTCTAGTTCACTAATTCTGCCTTTTTTGTGTGTGTCTAATCTACTGGAAAGTCTAACTTCTTAATTTTAGATAACAGACTTTTTATTCTAGAATTTATACTTGATTTTTTTTTATGGTTTACAAATCTTATTTTCTTGAACATATTAATCATAATTATTTAAAATTCATTGCCAGCTAACTCCAACAACTGTATTAACTATAGGGCTATTATTTTTTTCTCTTGTTTTTCAGTCATGTAGACATATCTAGTAATTTTTATTAAAAGCTAGATATTTTGTGTTAAAAAATTCTAGAGACTCTAGATGATGTTATCTTCCTCCCAAGATTACTCATCCTTCCTCCATGAAGCAAACAGAATGATGAATGATCATTTAAACCCAATCAGTGACTACCAGTGACTATGTGGAGATGAGATTACAGTTACAATAAGGCTCCGTGTACTTCTGATTCATCCCTACTCGCCCTGGGTTTTCAGCCAAGGGTCTGTGTAATGGGAAGCAGAAGTCAATAAAGGAGGGCTGGGTGCAGTGGCTCACACCTTTAATAATTCCAGCACTTTGGGAAGCCAAGGCAGGAGGATCACCTCAAGCCAGGAGCTCAAGACCAGCCTGGGCAACATAGCAAGACCCAGTTGCTATAAAAAAATTTAAAAATTAGCTGGTTGTGGTAGCATGTGCCTGTAAGTCCCAGCTCCTCCCAAGGCTGAGGCAGGAATATCCCTTGAGCCCACAAGTTTGAGGTTGCAATGAGCTATGATGGCACCACTGCACTCTAACCCAGGTAACAGAATAAGATCCTGTCTCAAAATAAATAAATAAATAAATAATTTTTTTGAAAAAATAAGTCAATAAAAGAAATTTATTTAATGGCATAAATCCACAACTACAAACAAAATAGGAATTAACTGCTCATCGTTTTCCTAGAAGTTACTAGACGAGGTGATCCAATAAAATAAGAGAAAAACAAAGGAAGAGGAAACCATACAATCCAGAAAACGGTGATCAAACCCAAGAGAGGTAAAGGAAATACCCAGAATGAAGAGAAGGGAGAATCTAATATCACTGCTGCTTAAGAGGCCTCAAGAACAGTAAGTCCAGATGGAGCATGTTAGAAAGATCTAGGAAAGGATCCAAAATAAAATTAACTGATTTGCTTGAACATTTTGAAAGGATATTTAGACTACTACTATATATCACAGACACAGGAAACTAACAAACTTTTTAAAAGATAACTATTAAGTGCAGGGAAAACAGAAAGTTGTGTTAGAAAGGAAACCATTTTATGGTTCAGCTGTAAATAGTATTTATAATGTCATAATAAATAATTTTGAATTGAATGTGTATGGAAGGAATGGTGGTTAACAAAAGTAGCTAAATTCTTATCTTCCACAGAGCCTAAAACTGAAAAATGAAGAAATGATTCCATAAACAAGTTGTTCAAAGATTCAGAGATAGCTATCAAAACATACTGCTACAAGCATTTGAAATGACTGCCTCTGGAAACTGGAACTGGGGGAAATCATTTTGAAAGTATCAGTTAGTGAGAGGGCAGACTAATGACATTTCGAAATACACCAAGACTCAGAAAATTTACCTCCTTGACAATGTTTTGGAAAAAGTTATTTGACAACATACTCTAACAGTCAAGGCAGAAAACTAAGAGAGAGGAAGACATGAATCAAAGAAAACAATCATTTCAACCCAAAAGACCAGTAAGAGGAAATCCTAGGATATCAACTATATAGCAGGTAGAAAGTGGTCTAGACTATGATATGCAGGCAAGAACATTTCCAGGAAAGAGAACTGCACTCTATGGAACAGTAGGATTGAAAGGATGGGAAATCTTTTTATTACAGTAAAGTTACATGATCTTTTTGTCAACAATAAAAAATCAGCGGGAGAACTAGAAATTATAAGAACAACAAAAACTGTACAAGAAAGTCATGGTTCAAATATGAAGCAAAACTAAGACATGGCATGGTTTTAAGCAACTAATAGAATATAAATGATATATTTGATGCTATGAATAGAAACATTCTATAAACATTCTCCTTTGAGAGTCCTAGTAATCATGATATTAGATCCATGAAAGGAAAATGTAATTCTTTTGCATGTGAGTTGGCACTTCAGTAACAATATTTATATAGTGATAATAATTTTAAATGCTAATTATTGGTTTTAAACATTTAAGGTAAATCTATGGACAAAAAAATGGAAGACTCAGTCTTGACTGTAGATCAGACTAGGACTAACTATTGAAAATGTAATAGAAAAAAAAGACAATGGGGAGAAAAAATGGAGGAAAGGATAGGGGTACCAATATATTTAGCCTATATAAAAGACAGTAGAATAACTGATTGATTAAAGTTGACGGAATAAGAAATAGAGTTACAAGTAATGTATTTATTAATACCAAATTAACAGAAAAACTAATTACAACACAACCAGCAAAAACTGAGAGACAGGATAAAGGTAAGTGAGACAAAGGAGTAACTTAAAGTGAGCTAGTCAATTAATCTTATCTAGAGTTGAGTGTGGAGAACATTTTGATTGTCCAGTATCTGATTCCTCTTCCTATATTCAGTGAATATTCCTTGTGTGCTTTCTGCCATCAATGGTGAAAAGGCGAATGCTTGCTTTCCCAGCTTCCTTTGTAGCTAGGACATGGTATGTGATCCGGGCTCAGCCTATCACTGCCTAGGAGCTAATGTCACAAAGAGGCAGAGACATTCTGGCAGCAGTGGCAGTGATAACAGTAGTGGCATCAAGTGATGGTGACAATGCAAATTGGTTCCAGGCATCCAGGTTCAGTAGTGGCAGTGGTGGCAGCGTGCCTTAACTGGACTGAGCTCTGTGGCATGACATTGCTACAGTCTGGCTCCTAAGCTTCGCTTTGTTCTTGTCCATATTCAGAGACTAATTCTCCAAGCTTCTTGGCAATTCTCTGAGTTACTCAATGTCCTTTCAATAAATTCCTTTCCCATTTAAATCAGCTAGAGTCAGTTTCCTTTGTTTACAAGCAGGAACTCTATTCACACTATTAATAAATCAAGAAATAAAAGTATAAGCATACTACTTCTCACACCTTGGTATTTAAAAAAAGAAGTATAAGCATACTACTTGAAAAGAATCAGAAACCCAAAGGTCAACAGTAGTTAGCACGTGCAATTCCTTTAGCCTGTAATAAATCTTCCCTAATTCACTCCTTGCCTTTGTCTAGAAAATGCCTACTCACCCTCTAGTTCTCAATTTATGTATCATTTCCTCTCCAAAGCCTTTCCTTGTCCCCTTGACATATGCACGTGAACTCAGAGCGCTTATTTGCATTGTAATAAACTATTTGCTTGTTTTTATTGCCCCATATAATAATAGTCCTTAGCTGAAGGGACCATGCCATGTTGTACCATTATGACTGGTACATAGTGGGTATGCTCAATACATATTAGTTAAATAAACAAAAATTATGAAGGTTTAATAAATTTTTTTTCTCAAGCACTTAACTTACAAAGCAAAAACCTTAACAGGGTGATAAACACACCTTCAGTACTCGAATCCGTCTGGCTCCCTGAAGAAGATGATGAAGAAGAAGGAAACACACGATCATCTGAAGAATAAGATGCCCCCGATCTATGTCGGCATCGGTGATGTTTTTGGTTTCTCTTTTTTTTTCTCTTTTGTTTGTGTTTACCTTACAGAGATACAAAATGGAACACAATTATTTTCCCAAATATTAGCAACACAGGAAAGAGAAACAGATATATTAATTTATAAAATGTACTTGAAATTACCCAAAAGGCCTTAAAGCAAGTATAAACTCCTACCTTTGTATCTGCCAGCTCCGGCATCTTCAGCACTTCTCTGTGTGGAATTCTTATCCATGTCTACAAAACTTGTCTGCCATGTCTATAAAACCAAAATACTGACAAGTTATTAGAGAATTTAAAAAGCAAAATGATGTTTCTTGGGACAAAGAAAATGGAAATGGGATCAACTCAGCACTGTTAACATTTTGGGCTGGATTATTCTTTGTTAATGGCTTTCCTATGCATTTTAGGATGTTTAGCCACATCTCTGGCCTCTGCCCACTAGATGCCAATAGCACCCTCTAAGTGTGACAACCCATAATGGCTCCAGACACTGACAATTGTCCCTTGGAGGGCAATCACTGTTGAGAACAACGCCACTGATAACCACTGGACTAGAGTAGTAGTGATAGAGATGGAAAAAAGAGGATGAATTCAAGAATCAGAATGACCAGGAATTGCTGATGGATTGGCTATGAGGGAAAGAAATAAAGGATGATTTCTAGATTTTTGACAGGAGCAACTGGGTAGAAAACGGTATCATTAACTGAGATATGCCAACACCAAGGAAGGAATATATTTGGAATAATGTTGCAATAGAACACAGAATAGAAAATCAAAAGTTTTTTTCTTCAAGGAATGCCTAAATAGGAATTTAGTAGATGCCTATAAACTATCCAAATAAATATGTCAGATATCTCATGCTGGCAAAGATGGTCTAAATGGAGAAAAGGCACTGAAAGCATAAGTTTGGGAATCTTCAGCAGAATATTTAAGCCATAAGACTGATGATATCACAAAAGAAAAAAGCACGAGTGCCAAATCCTCATCTTTCATAATTGACATCAAAAGATAATGTCTAAGGCGGATAATGTCTAAATTAGGAAATCTCACTATAAACATATTATTTTAAAATATGTAAGTATACCAACAGAAAGATCTAAAAGAACTGAAGGGAGCTGCCTGTGGTAAGTTAGATGGAATATTGTATACTTTTTGGTTTTCTAAGTAAATATTTTGATAAAATTTAAAGTGAATAAATCTTCCCCTTCAAAACATACAAAGGTAAATGGGGCTTCTCATCCAAGGTGCCAGATTTCCTTCCTAAAGTCACATTAAAATGACAGTTAAGCAATAAAAATTTATAAATCCCTAACAGGGAAAATAAAAGAGGATCTAAGAGGGAAATGTGAGTCCACGAATGTCTGAAAACCAGAAAGCAGATGCAAGTGTGCTGACATAAGAAACTAAGGGTGCTACAGACTGAAATACTTGAGAAACACATTACAGTAGCAGAAGTGACTCTACCTAGCAAAATCTTGAAAAGGTTCTAGTTGATTGAGAAAGACTATGAAGGATGGGGATAAGAATTGCTGTAAACAGGAGGATTATTGAAGATCTGTTTACACCAACACACAACTAAGTGATTACTCCCAGGCAAAAATTCAAAGGATTGTTTCAAGAAGTTGAATAAAAATGAGGAATTATAGGGCAAAAAGTACAAGTTTTGATGCCTGAGTCTCATTTTTTGTTAGGTCCCTGATAAAATAGCTAGCTCCTTGCCAGCCTACTGTATTAATTATACTAAATATTAAATAAGTGTTTGCTATATGCCAGGCATTGTTCTAAGGAATTTACATGCATTCTTCATTTAATACTTAAAACAAAATAGTATCATTTTATCACACTTTTTCCAATGAGACAACAGTGGTTAAGTAACTTCCCCAAGATCACACAGCTAGTAAGTTGCAGAGCCTTAAAAGTGAAGCCAACTAACAAGGAAGTTAACAAGCTTCCGCCGTGTATAAAAAATTGCCATCTTTCTTACTCCCTTGTGCTCCAGTATGAACGGACAACCAAATAACACCAGATATTTGAAGAAAACCTCTAATGTAACAAAATTCAAGATAAACAGAGAAACGACCCAGATAAAACAAAAGGCAACTTAAAAAAATTGTAACCTGTTCCTTCAGAGAGGTTTAGAATATATTATACCCACAAAACAAAAATAGGATAGCAAAAAGTAGTACTCTCAGAAAATAAGAGCATGCTTTGTAAAAATTAAAAATATTACTCAAATAAAAAAATTAAAAAGAGAGCACAAAAGATAAAGTTGGTTTAGAAAAATTAAAGAAAAGAACCTTGGAGAATAAATCCAAGAGGCCTAATATATAAACAATAAGGATTCCAGAAAGAAAGAAGAGAAAATGGAGGAAAGGAAAATCAAATACAAATTGGAAATTTTCCCAAAACTGAACAGAAAAAGAATTCTTCCAATTGAAAGAATCCACTAACAACTAAAGGAGGTGAAAGAAAAAAATAAAACAATTCTGTACCTACATACATGGTGGTGAAATTTAAAGAGAAGTTTCCAAATGCTTCCAAAGGGAAAATGGCCATAAAGAAAGATTCAGAGTAGCATCAGTCTTTTCATCAGCCACACTGACTAGGACATATTGAAAGAAGACCTTTACAATTCTGGGGGTAAATTATTTTACATCTAGAATTCTATATCCAGCTGAGCTATCAAGAAATAGGCAGGCAAAATCAAGCCATGCAAAGATTTGCAAAGTTTACCATTAATCCTTTCAGAGAAGTTACTTGAGTATGTGCTCCAGTAAAATGAGAGAAAACGTGAAAACAAAGAAAGCGGAAGGCGAAGGGTACAAAAATTTGGGAAACTCCAGTTCGAAGGAAAAAAGAAAATCTCAGGATTAAGCTGTTAAAAGTACTAAAAAGCAACTGGTCCAAATTAGAGTGGGTTGTAACAAAAATGTTGTCAAGAATTAATGCGAGAAGTATGACTATAGACCTTAAGACAAATACAATCTAAGCACATTACTAGACCTGCAGTGAATAATATGTATAAAGTCACAATAATATAAATATTCTTTTCAGGTTTTTAACTTTTAAATTCAATTTACAGAGGAAAACACTGAAGTGTTAATCACAGTTATAGAACAGAAAGTTAATTTATCCAATTGTAATGCTATAAACGTAAAGGTACAACTGTCAGAACATGAAAGGTGGAGAAGGGGAAGAAAAGGTAGAGGAAAGTGCTACTATTAGGAGTGCTACGATCATCCTACAAAGTTAAGAGACAGTGATAAAACTTGCTGGAGCAAGAAATACGTGTTTAAACATAATACATTGTTTAAGGTAACAAGAGTAAAGAAACTGAGTTGGCACTTACCTGCTATTTTTGGGGGTCTTTTTATGAATAAACGTCATGTTTCTCCTTCAGGTCAGCAACTAAACCTCAGAGTTCTTGGAAACCCCAATTATCTCACATAAACTAGCTACTCAAATGTTTGCTGTTAACAGTGATGATAATGAGGGTCACACTGAGGTAGGCGAAGGGAGCTGGTTAGCGGGGTACATTTTTAAGGAAGCTAAGCACATTTTGGAGATGCAAAATATTACTAAGCTCAGAGCTTAGATACTTGACAAAAATGAACACTCAAGGGTCTGTGTGAGGAAAGCTCTGAGAAGAGGGTTCTCAGGCAGAGGCCAAACTTCTATAAACAGGGACATTTTAGACAGCATTCAGAAAAAAGAAAATTCCCCAGGAGAAGCAACTAAAAAGAGGGGATGCCCAGGTATTTGGGGAAAAAAAAGGGTGGTAACGGGGCCAAGTTTAGAGTCAACTACACAGTAGATTCAAATTTCAACTCTACCACATCCAAGCTGTATCACTTTGGGCAAATTAACTTCTCTGCACCTCAAGTTTCTCATTTGTATCTACCTAAGGATTGTTGGGAAGATTAAATAAAATGCGTGTAAAGCGCTTAGGTCAGTGCCTTACTCTTAGGCACTCTTTTGTTACTGTGAATAAGAGGCGGGGTTAGGAAGGGAGGACCGGGGTACGAAGGGGGACGGTCCTTGATAGAGATTTTTGTTAGGGGGTAAGATTCTGAAACAGAGGGGATACTCCCAAAGAGAGTAGGGGGAAGAAGTGGTGGTGGAAGCAGTCACATTTTCGCGGTGTTTCTCTGCAGGGCCCATCACGATGGTAGGAGGGCTGAGCACAGATCAAGAATACACCCTCTAGAGGAGGCAAAGTCGACAGCCGCTAGAGATTAGTGCTTATGATTTAAAAGGACACAATTTCTGAGGAAACTGTGAGCCTGGGAGCAGCCTCATTAGCGGAGTTGGGGAAGGGCGGTGGAGGACAGTCCAGGGAGTGACCAAGTGGCTGGTGAGGGACACAGACTGGCCCGAAGAAGAGTAAGTGGGGGGGAAATGGTGGCGCGGCCTCTACCGGTTTGCTCTCGCATTCTTTATAGCCATAGCTTCGGCTGGTACAATCACTTACTGGAAACTGCAGAGAAACAACCTTTTTTGCCAGGCTTCGCAGCCCGGCCCGAGGGTGCTGAGGAACCAGGGCAGCGAGCGCCGCTGAACCCGACGCTCTACAGCGCACTGCGGGGCTGCGGGGGAGAGCAGAGCGCCCGCGCGTCGGCGGACCGGAAACGCCCGGCCTACGCCATAGACGGGGGCGGGAGCAGAGACGGCTCTTCCGGTCTCGCGAGCTTTCTGCGGCGGCTGTGTGCGCTGTAGGGGTGGAGGCCGCCAGTAACAGCGTGGGGTCTCCGGCTATGTCTTCTTGGTCCGGACCCTTAGCGAAGCGTTTTTGCACACATCATGAAGAACTTTAAGCCCTCGGGCCGATTTCTGTAGTAGATTGTCTCCAAATAGCAAAGATTTCCCGACGTTTGTTTGGGATTCTATAGTTTTGTAGATTCATTTGCCAAGATTTAATACTAATACAATGTTGAGAATTCCCATCCAACAATGTGGTTATTTCTCCATTAATTAATGTCTTCTTCAGGCGAAGTGTTGCAATTTTCTTGGTGTTTTGTGCATTTCTTTTGTGAACTAAAAATCCTAAGCCCTCTGCTAACTGAATGGACCCCATGGAACGGGGGAGGGGGCCACAAACCCCTTAAAACTGAGTTCCCAGCCATTACCCGATGGGAGAGAGAAAGCACAATTACACGGTATGATTTCCCTTCATAACTATTCATGACTCCTATAGCCTGTTAAATATGTATATTTGACCTCAGTATAAAATCCTGTTG